AGAGAGCTGGAGAGGACACAAAATAAGAAAAAAAACCCTGTAGACTAGAGAACAGACCAAGCTCCACCCCATCTTCTCCAGGTAAGCCCCGCCCCCCCACCCCAAGAGGTGAAGGGACACGCCTAGGGCCACACAGCTTGTGGGTGGTGGAGCCAGTATGAGGGCCAGGATCTTCTCACTCCAAGTGCAGTACTGCCTCAACCCTCATCTGTTTTGGAGGCTGAACTCTGCTAGGTGCTGAAATGCGTATGCCACAGATGTCAAAGCCCTAGCATGTGAGCTGCCCCCATCAGTCAGCTAGCAAAATCAACCACAGCTGTCTTTCACTGAGCACTTCCTTTGTGCTATGTAGTCAGTGCTAAGGTTTTTCCATGGGTTATTTCACCCATCCTCAGAGTAACATAGAGAAATAGGCTCTGTTATTGTCTGTTTTACTGACAAAGAACCTGAGGCCCAGAGAAATTAACTAACTTGTCCACAGTCTCACATTAGTAACTGGCAACACCTGAACCCTTTTACTTTATTGCCATCTCCTAAGCTCAACTGTGGGTCAGGAGTGGTAGGGCACCTAGAAAGAGCACAAACACAGTCCCAACACTCGAGAGTCTTATGATCTATGTCAGGATGGAAGGGAGCCAGTAGTAATCGAGTACCCAAGGCATGACAGAGGCCTTGCTGGGGGCTTGCAGACTACAGTGATTTCAGCTAAATCTCAGGGCACTTCCAAATTCTTGGAGTCTATGCCTGGGAGCTATGTGCTTGAGAACAGGGCAGTGATAGATACACCACTAACATACACAGGAATCAATGAATCAGACAGCACTGGGTCTGAGGGTGGACAGGGTGGGGTACCCAGTAAAGACCAGATAGAAGCACTTGGCCATATGAAGGTCCATCATCAATCCTTTTCAGCATAACTTGAGCTTGCCACAATAGTCGGCATGGCAGTGTGGGGTGGTAGAAAACTCAAAGACTTTGTAGCAACATAGACACACATTTGAGTCCCAGTCCCATTGTATCCCATTTATATGACTATGGGTGAGTCAGAAAGCCACACAGTGTAGTTCTACTTCTCAGAAATATGTGATACATAGGCAGGTAATTTAAACTCTGAGTTTTGATTTCCTCATCTATATATAAAATGGGAGAACTGAGGCAGGGAGCTGACTGTAGTAGAGAAAAGCCCAGACTCCAGAGTCAGATTACCCAGATTTGAATTCTGCCTCTTTCACTAGTAGTTGTATGAAGCTGGCAAGTTCTCTAACCTCTCCGAGGCTCAGTTTCAAATCTGTGAAGCAGTAATGATCATAGCAGCTATCCCACGGGGCTGTAAGGAGCATCAAATGAGTTGTATGTATAGTGCTCAGAATAGCACTGGCACTCAATGCGTTTACTACTGTTATTGTCTTGAAGTGTTACTGTGAGGATCCAAAGCGCTCAATTAAATGGGGAGCTGCAAAAAGTAGAAGATCAATAAACTCATAAATGTCTATTGTTTTCAAGTTTGGTGTCTTTTCCCTCATCTTCTGATAACAGACTTATTCTTTCCTTTGGGAAACCCCTTCCCAGACCCTGCATACTCTCATCCCCAAACAAGTGGAATGAACATTTAACCCCAACTCGATCAATCAGAGGACACCACAAATGGTAACAGCCATTTGCTTAGACATGGACAAGCTAAGCAATCCACCCTCAATTCTTTCCTGTGGGACAGTTGTTGGGGCACTCTCTCCAGCTGGGTTGCTAGATCAGTATCTCTGAGTGTTCTGCTTTTCCCACCACTATGCACACTGTTCTAGGGATGGCAGGAGTGAGATGTAGTTCCAATGACATCACGAGGCTCCTGGATCCAGTTGTTCCTGAAGCCATTCATAACTATCACTGTCTCAGACATACTAACTAATGTATTTCCTCTTTGGGTTAAATTAACTTCAGTTGCATTTCTGTCACCTATTGGTTAGCAGTAGTATTGTAATAGCATAGGTTCTTAATAAATATTGTTTCCCTTTCTCAACACTACTCAAAACATCTTATTACACATTCACAGTTTTTCCAAAAGGTATTCTTTGGTTAAACATTGAGCATTAAGGAGTTTTTGTCTAGAGATATAATAAGAAAAGAAAGGGCGTTTCCAGAATTGCTGCTTAGCCCTCACAACATACTATGCAGGAACAGCCACACAGTGTCTGTATTTAGCATTCTCTGGAAAATTGCTTGCTGTGTCTATTGAGAAGCAGTGCTCTTTTAAAACACAGCCAGTGGCATATGTATACACACTCGTGATTGCACATTTATTGATTTCTAATTTGTACCCTGCTAACTTCCAAAAAGGCCCTGGAGTGGCTGACAAAATAAGACAAAGACACAATAGGGCCATTAAGAAAAATCAAAGATCAAGCCCAGAGAGAAAAAGGGATTGCTGATTATAGCCCAAACCTGGGTTAGTATAGTTGCTTCAATTTAAAAAAAAATTATATTTAGCTCCCAGCTTTTTGGCAGCCATTCAGATTGTATCATGATGGGGCACATGGAAAACTGGGCCTCCTTCATGTCTGCAGCTCAACAACCAGCAGAAGCCAGGCTAGAACGAGTGAGCACTGGGGAAGAGCTTATTGAATGAGTGAATGAATGAATCAGTGAGTGAGTGAGTGAGTAAATGAGTGAGTGAGTGAATGAACAGTGGATAAATGGATCAAACCCACTGAGGGCACTGTTCATATCTGTAGGCCTCTATGATGCATTTATTCATCCACCCATTCATTCACTGAGTACCTATGCGCGTCAACCCCCATGTCTGGCTGGGGATGTGGAGAGGGACAGACACCAAAATGAGTTCAATGTCGGCTCTGCCTTCCCAGCTGCAGCTCTCTGGCTTAGGCAGAAGCTCAGTGAAATTTATCTCACTGCTCATAGCAACAATTAGATTATTCATGCCTCCCAGAGAAGGAAGAGCAGAGAGCAAGGTTGTAAAGGTGGGAACTCTAGGAGTCACAATAGTTATCTTGGTGACTACAAGTTAACAGTACTTTTAGACCCCAGAAAACACCATTATCTCATTGGATAGGCACAGCATCTCAATGAGGAAAGTAAAAGGGAAGAGGGGTGTCTCTCTTTTACTGATGAGGATATTTGGGCACAGAAGGCAAAGTGACTCTCCCAACCTCTCTCAGTTAGAAAATGGGGACTTCCTATGCCCCTCATGCTACCTGCCTGGGCTTGGCCCCCAGCATCTCAGAGACCTGTTACCACCGCCTGAAATTCCTCCTCTGACTGGATCAAGACCAGCTGCACACAAAATGCCCATCACCTGATGGCCGTGGGGAGCAGCCATGAGGCCACCTTCTGCGAGCAGGAACCAGCCCACCTGACATCCCGCAGCAAGTGGAACACTCAGATCCATCCTGCTCAAAGCTTTCCGGCAGCCCCACCCCACAGACACCTTCTGTTTGCCTAGAAAGGGACGCTGAGATTCCAGATGAATGGCATACAGTCTGTAGTTCATAATTAGGATCAGGTTGAAAAGGCACAATTTGGTTCTGGGTAGAGAGATGACTATTAGGTGAACATTTAAGGAAAGAACTATATAGGGAAGAGGAAATTAAAAACCACGTAGCTTCCCCATAGGCCCATTTGGTGTTGTTCATCCAGCTCTGCTATACACTCAGGCTGCCAAACCCTCGCCTCGTCTACCCTCATGTCCATCAAGATACAGTCAAGGTAGAAGAATGGAAAGGAGGACATATTCTTTTCCACATTTACCAAGGTCAGCCGGGTGGACTGAACAAGAGAAATGGGGTACACGGCCGGAGGAGACCTTGACAAAGTACAGGTGTTTCCTAGAGGAGGCAAGCAAGGCTGCTGTACTACTGAAACACCAGCCAACCCTTGCCTGATCTTGTTCCAAAAAAGTACCCTTTAAGATACTTTTATGTACATAGTCTGTGTATGTGTGTACAGACAAAGATGTAGATACAGATTCCTAATTCAGAACTCATTCTTAAGTGCACACACTGACTTGTGTTTCATATTTCCCAATTTATCCTGGAGCCTACATGCATTGTTTGACTGCGTAAGTCAGTATTAAGCACAGCCATTGGAAATGAGAATAGTGGCCACAACTCTAGAGCCTCCCCAGTAATGTTACGAGTTTTTGAGCCAGGCAATAAATTTCACTGCCTGACTGCTAAGCAGCCAGGCACTGTGTCACTCCATTCAGAAAGTCAAGCCTTAGGCCAACCCAGATCATCCCATGATCTACACAAGTCACTGCCAGAATGACTTTTAGGTTCAAAATCATGGAACTGTTCACTGTCAATAATTAGCACATGCCTAACACTCCCCATAATACATGAATCACAATCGCCATCTTGACGTACATCCCAGCTCCTGAGTCTCCAAACCTTCACACTGAATAAATGCACAGAGCTATCACCATATCTTTCCCCTTCACTACAATCTGGATCATTCCAGAAGATAAAGCAAAATTCAAAGTGTTTCTTCCTTTTCCACAAAATCATAGAGTCCAGACCCAGGCTTCCCAGACTGGCAGTGTTAGGAAGCCGGCAAAGGACAGTTGATTTATCCATTAAGGTGGTGAGGTAGAAATGTTTAGTCCAATCCAGTGACCCCCTGAGACCAATGGCAGTCTTGTGAGAATAAACTCACCTCAGTTCCCACCCTCAGGGCATTTCCCTGAGGTAAGGTCAGACCCAAGCTAATAGAAGACTTCCTTTCTCCTTGCAAAGGACTGATCCACTACCACAAGCCACTAAGCCCTCACTCACCACTTAAGCCCGTCTCTGAAGGCAGCAAGACAGGTGGGCCTAGAGGGGAATGGGCCATTCCCCCCACATTGAAGCCCTGCTCCAAGCTGCCATATGTATGGCCTCAGTGCCAAGCTCCGCACGGCACGAGGTTCCACGCGCTAAGGCAACCATGACTTCCACAGCACCAAAGCCAGGCAAGACAGCAAGGAGAGAACACAATTCAACTGTACTCACAGTCTGGTGAGCTTCGGGGTGCCCTGGAAAAGCAATTCTGGAAGGACTTGGAGCTTATTCTTGTTCAGGCGTCTAAAGATGAAAAAAGAATGAAAGGATGTCAAGGGGACATTAAATTGGATCAAGTATATTCAGACACCACTTCAATCAATCAGTCAATCACCAAGTATTAAAAGACTTTCTAGATCTTTCCACGTGGGATGCTCGGCGTGTGTGGGATATACTCCGTAATCAAGTTGGGGATATGAGGCAAAGGCCAGTCATAACAGCACAGCATGTGTGCTGCAGCACCCCCATCACGAGCCTAGGACACACATGTCACCGACTCATCACAACCTTCTTTCCCATGGACCCCAGACCAGGCTTTTGAAATTGTCTGGCCATGTGCTCCAGGGAGCTAGTGTCAAGTGACAGAACTGGCATGTGAAATGGGTCCCTAAAAAGAAAGAAAATACTAGAGAGACTATTCCAGATTCCAAGTGCTAATTGTGGCTGTGGTGAGGAGACAGCAATTCCTATGGGAACAGAGAAGGCCATAGACTGAGGGGCCAAATGAATCCTCGGACCAATGCAGGGCTGCATTATAACTTGCGTGGGCCCTGGCACTATTGCTCACATGAGCCCCTTCCTCCGTTAAAAAAGGTAATATAAGTTTATAATTGTGTTGGTATAAAAACAATATATTAATATCATATATTATAACATTTACTTTGACCTGATAGCTCTTTCTTTCCTTCTAATTTCAAAAGAAGTTAAAACAGTTTCATGGCCCTAAAAGGATTGCTGGCCCTGGGCACCAGCCCCGCTGAGCCTAGAGGAGCAGCTGGCACTGGGTCAGGGACCAGGACTTGTGGCTGGAGGTAAACTCGGCTGAGAAGGGTCACCCCACTTAGAAGGGTGGCAACAGAGCCAATCAGACACTCTCCTGAGAATGGTCAATGCTAATGTCCACAGAAAAGAGGCCACCTGAGTTTCTAAGGGACACGAGCCTTTGTTGTAGCCTCTGTGAAGGTTGCTCTCCTGGGAGTGTGAGGCCAAAAGGGAGACCCTATTCCGTGCTTGCTCCCGTGCCTCTCTGTCCTAGCATCTTTATGCAGCTTAATCAGTGAATGCCCGAACTGTCCCCAAGTCTTCCACCCTCAGAATGTGCAGAATCTCCTGGAGCACAGGAGCAGTTCAGACCTGGCAGCGTTTTTCCACTTAGAGTGAACTGCACGTTGGTTTCCCAGTATAACCATATTACCCTATTATGGAGTTATTAAATGGAAGGAAAGAAAAGGTGAGCGTTGTCCCAGCTTCTGGCCCCAAAGCCCACACTCGCTCCACAGCACCAAGCAGACATGAGTCCCTGGGGAGGAAGGATTTTACTACTTCCCCCGTTTCAATCCTGGTCAATGGCCAAAAACTTCAGAGGCACAGGGGACCAGTGGAGGTCACAAAGGGCAAAGCACAGGAGAGAGGAGCATCTGCAGGCTAAGGCTCCTGTCAGAGGTGTGCTGCTCAGCCAGGAACCGGTCAAGTGGTATGAGGACTGGTGAGGACAGTAAGGACAGTGAGGACGGTGAGGACATTGAGGATGGTGAGGCTGTCGGTGAGACACCTGAGGGAAGGAGGCCAGAGGAAGCCTGGGAAGTGGGCCGTGATAAGCTCAAATGCCCTGCCCCACCCCATGGGCAGCCGGATTCCTACACCAGCGCTTTTTTTTGGTTTTCATTTTTTATTAATTGTGTCAAAAAAAATAAAACATTTACGATCTTAACCATTTTTAAGTATATAGTTCCATTAAGTATATTCATATTGTTGTGCAACAGATCTCCAGAACTCTTTCTTCTTGCAAAACTGAAACACTATACCCATGAAACAACTCCCCGTCCCCCTTCCCCAGGCCCTGGTGGCCACCATCCTGCTCTCCGTTCCGTAGGTCTGACCAGTGTCCTTTTGATCACTTCCAGTATGCACTGTGTGTGTTTCTGTTACTGAAGTGGAAAGACAGCGTGGAGCCCAGGGGAGAGGAGGGCCAGGAGGAGTCTAGTTGCTTATCCAGAGCAGTTCCCACGTGGGGATGGTAAGTTCCTTTATATCACAGGGAAGCACTGGTCCAAGAGAAGGCAGGGTGCTGTGCCTTTGGGGTTGGCCAAGGCTGGCTTCAGTGTGTCTATATCATGAGAGATCTCCCCCTGGGAACTCAGAACTTTGGTTTTATATCTGCAAAATAACCTTACTCACTGGGCTACAGTAAGTTTTAATACATAAGTGTCTAGTATTATAATAAGAACATGGTGATAAAAATTATGCTTATTGAGTTCTAACTGCATGTCAGATGCTAAACTGCACGCTGGATGGGCAGGACTGCAGACAGAAGAGCTGGGAGGCAGGTGTCAGTTATTATCTGTGAATCATAGACGAGGACACCAACCCCTGTAAGGGCTGTGCACACTCCACAGGCTACAGTGCCAGGAAGTGGTACAGGCGGCACGCGGACCCAGGCAGTCTGCCTCCGGAGCCCTGGTTCTGGACTGAAGAGCTCTCAAAGCCTGGCAGTAAGTGACGGCTCCCTTGTTGTCTCTGCTTCCTTTCCTCCAGGCTTGCCACCTCCTCCTCCCAGCCCAGACAACCATCCACCCCAAGGACATTTCCCTCCCTTAAAAGTCCCCTCTTGGAAGGTCCCTAAGGCCAGAATTGAGTCTCTTTGTGGGTCTGGGAATCAATACTGGAACCATGGGAAATTTTTTTTTATTTTTATTTATTTATTTTTATTTATTTATTTTTTAAATTTTATTTTGGTATCACTAATCCACAGTCACATGAAGGACATCGTGTCCACTAGGCTCCCCCCTCACCAAGTCCCCCCCCACATAGTTCTGTTATTTTTAAATGAGAAAACAACAGCATGAGTATGGGATGAATTAATCTTTGTAAAGTGCTTAGCACTGGGCATAGCATAATCACTACTCAATAAATGTTATCAAATCTGCATTTATCATCTAACCAGCTGAACTCTAGTGGATGACAGGGTGAGAAAAATAAGATAATATAACTCTAAGGTTAAAAGGAATCAAAAAGAACTTCATGGTGCTACAAAATGCATAGCTTAAAGAGTAAGTTCTCCCAAAATTCTTATGTGTAATCAGGTTTGGGAACTATGTTTCTAGACATTTCTTATTTGGAATAAGAATGGAACCACCCTCTATTGTCACTGCTGCACAAAGCCTGGGAAGAGTTACATTCAGACAACACTTTAGTCTAGGAAAAAATTCTAAAACCCAGCGCCCCACTGCCTGCAGTGGGTTGGGTGTTGAGTGTGCTAAAAGCCCTAAACCAGAGTTGAAGCTAAAAATAAAACCAGCTTGGCTCTGAGGCTCCACAAAGGGAAAAACTCGTTTTCAGTTCGTTGCCGGTATTTGTGGCTGGACAAAAATAAAAACACAACCAAATTTAGCCAGTTGTGCTCTGCCTGCCACTCCATAAACCCTGACTGAGGATTCCAGGGCAGCTGGGCTGGGCTCTCCTCCCAAAAGCCTCAGGGTTTTCCGCTTCGGCTTGGGCGGGCCGCACGCCGGTTCTCCCTGTCACAAGGAGCTCCGGGACTTCATTTCATTTCCAGTTCGTTCCAGGATTGATTCATGTTTACTTAGTTAACTAAGCCAGCCAAAAGGTCTTGCATGAAGAAATGGTGAAGGTTCCAAGCTGCCTAAGGTGCACTCTTCACGTGGCTGCTCTAAGAGCAGCTCCTGAAGGGAAAACGAACAGTATGAAATATGCCCTTCTCCTGACAGAGGGGCAGGGAAGCACTGGGCTGCGCACAGAGGCTATTGGCCATGGTGCCCTCCGTCGCTCATGCCATCTGCCACTCTTGTCACCCTGGGCCCAGAGGTAGGAATCTCCTGCATAGTTTAAGCTGGAAATAAATCCGTGATGCTTAGATGGAGAAGACTGGAGAGGACCTGTATGAGGGCAGACCCAAGAAGGTTGACAAAGAGTCCACAGGCCAGGTCAGTGATGTGAAAAAGCCCACCTGGGTGTTCCCTATAAGATCAACGCACTTTTTCAGCTTTCTTCCTGGAACACTGGTGAGCATTAAGGTCAAAACCCCACTGGCTGCTAGTTACAAGGTCATACGGCTTTTCTGCCTGAACTGTGAAGCTTCAAGAAACAGAGCCTTGTCTTTATATTACAGTACAATTGAGCACCTTCCTGAAAGTATCTGGGTGTAAAGTCTAATTAGAGGTTTTTGCCACTTTATTGAATTCACCCTTTTATCTGTTCATTCAATTATCTACCCACCCATCTTCCCATCCAGCTATTTCATTTATCCATCCATCATCCATCCAACCATCCATCCACCATTCATCCATGCATCTCTGCACTCATTTTTCAATGTGAACGTTCAAAGATGAAAAAGATGTAGTACCTTCCTTTCAGGATGTCAGATGCTAGTGGAGGAGACAGACATGAAAACAAAGCTATTATGGAGCATAGAAGAAGGCCAGCTGCCCCTGACATGGGTAAAGAAAGGCTCCCCAAAAGAAATGGTTTGCAGTTTAGTTTTGAAGCATGAATATGACTCTTCAAGAAATACGGAGAGAGTGTTCTAGACTTGGGCATGGCCATGGAGGCCCATGAGCCCAAGAAACATTTGGGGAGGAGGCCTGCATTGCTGGAACATGGAGGTAACTTGAACAACATTAGCAAAGAAGCTGTAGAACTAGGCAGGGATCCTAAGGGCCCTTGTGCATCATGGTTAAAGATTTGTGCTTACCTGTTTCCTGAGAGTAACAATGGGCTATAGATAGAGGTTTAAGCAAGGGTGCACTTAATAACAATCTGGTTTGGATTTTGGAAACTCCTCTTGAGTATCAGTAAACCTGGTTTTGCAGAGGGTGAAATAGGAAGTGATGAGACCAGCTAACAGGGCTCCTAAGTAATCAGTGTGGCTGTATGAAGACCTGGTTAAGGATGAGAATGGTATTGGAGTGTAGGAGATAGATGTGAGGTACAATCAACAGAACTTTGTGATTGAATGCAGACAGTTACAGCAGTGGAGATGTTAAAAGTGGTCCCCAGGTTCCCTT